TTACTATCATCCAGTTTCTGAATGGGGAGGAGCCTCTGTAGTGAGTGCTTCTCCCCATTGAGAAACTCATGAATGAACAGGAAGTCCTGTTCATTCATAACTGGGGACACATAGCACTATGTGTCCCCAGTTATTTACAAACACTGGAGTGATCAGATGATCGCTCCAGTGTTTGTCCTGCACAGAGGATTGGTACATATCACTGATATGTACCGATCCCCTGCCGCTCGGCCACGCACATGTGAGCTCAGCTTCTCCTGTAGATCCGCGCTGCTCTCCCGGGCAGAGGCAGCAGTGGATCCGTGGAGAGGTGAAAGAAGCGCTGCAGCCGGGGGGGGGGCAGAGGAGGGAGCCGCTGTCACAGCAGCATGTGCGGTGAGGAGAGAGAGGCCGTCAGATCCAGGCCGAGTAGCTCTCTCCTCACAGCTCGGCCTTAGTTCTGTGACAGCGGCTCCGTCCTCTGCCACGGGCTGCAGCGGTTCTTTCACTACCTTTCAGATCCCCGATGCATACAGGTGAGGATCCAGAGAAGCACCACGTGCGCGAGGAGAGGCCATCATGATCTACCACTGATCGCTACGCGATCAACCTTATGGGCACCGCTGGTATAGAGTATTCAATCTGTAATTGGATAGAAAACTGGCTTAACTACCTCCGGGCCGGCCGTAGTAAAAAAAACGGCCGGCCAGGAGCTCTCTAGATCTGAGCGGGCGTCCTTAGACGTCCGCTCAGACAGTGGGAAATGGCAGATATTTAAAAACAGGCAGCGATGCCTGTTACCATACAAGCGATCCGCCGGCTGTAGAGCCGGCGGATCGCGTGTATGGGGTGCCGATCGGTTCCCCCCCCCGCCATTGTCCCGCTGATCCCGGGCTCCGCTGTGCCCGGTGCGAGCCCGGGATCAGCATGACGCCTGTGTCACAGGGGATCAGAGGGAGATCTTTACACAAGCTCCCTCTGGTCCCCTCTCCTCTGCAAGAATGTGGAAGTGTTGTATAATACATCACTTCCACATTCTTGTGTCACTCTCCAGCGTCAGAAGCTGGAAAGAAGCTGATGGAGCAGATCTGTGCTTCAAAGAAGCTGATGGAGCAGATCTGGTGATATTAGGGGTCTTGGAGACCCCTGATGTCTCCATTAGGGGACCTGTCACATATTTTGCTATCACATAGGGGGGTTTTATTAGCCCCCGTATGTGATAGCAATAAAGTTTAGTGAAAAAAAATGTAAACTCCCCCCCCTAAAAAAAATGTAAAACTAATTTTTAAAGTCCCCAACCATACATACACGCATGCAAACATGCGTGCATACGTGCAAAAAAGACGATTGCGCTCATTACGCCGCACATGTTACATATCGCCGCGAACGTCGGAGTGACAGCAATAATTCTAGGGCCATCAATCACGGATAACACTAAACTGCTGAGCGGTGAAAGCTTTTAAAGTGTCGCCTATGGTCAATTTTGGGTATGATAGTTTTCTGCGATTTCGCGGTGCGCGCAATTTTACAGCTTGACATGTTTGGTGTCTATTTACCCGACGTGACCTCATCTTTTATATTTTACCAAAAAACTGTGTAATAATAAATGTTTCCTAACATTATGTAAAAAACAACAACTTTTTTTTAACAACATTTTCTGTAGGGGGGGCTGGGAGAGAGCACCCCCCTGAAATGATGGCAGATAGCAAGGGAAGCAATAGCTTCTTTGCATGTTTTACAATCGTTTAATTGCTATGTTCACACAAAATCATTAACGTGGAAAAACACACAAGCCGGTTAACAAAATGACATCTTGTCAATCAAAAGTTAAAATATACATGCCTGTATAAGATCTGACCTTTAGAAGTATGACATTATTTCTGTTACTCACTTCTGCTAACAAGATGATCAGTACCCTGTTATTTTATCAGATAGTTGTGTTTCCACCCAGAGGACCCATAAAATGTTGCCTGAGACCTAAGTATTCCCATGGACCAGATTATATACACTTTGATCTTTTTTTAGACCTGCAATGCTTTCCATCAACTTAAAGAAAAGGAAATCTGTTTCAAATAAGGATCTTACAGTTCATAAAAATAATAGAAAATACATTTAGAGAGTAATTTTCAGCAGCTGTCTGAATATGAAAAAGAAAAAACTCAATTTAAAAAAGAAAAAAACCTCAAAAGTTTAGGATTTTCCATGAATCCAAAACTTATAGAAAAGAAAATCGGTTTCAAATAAGGATCTTACAGTTCATAAAAGCAATAGAAAATACATTTTGAGTCATTTTGAGCAGCTGTCTGAATATAAGAAAAAGTGTCAAGGGGCAGATTAATAATGCATCCTATTGTAAGACTTTAAGGGGTCAATAGTCTGAAATATAATTAAGTCAAATATGTCGGGGATCTGTATGAGTCTTTAGATGAGGTGTCATTTGGTGTGTTGCTCCTGTGGACATCTTTGTGGTCTCAATAATGTTTATCAAGCATGAATAAGAACTGGACTACAGAATATGAGTCTAAGGAATACTGATAGCTGTAAAGGATTACTTAAGGAGATCTCAGTTGGAATAATTCATCACAGTGAGAAATGTTTTTATTGCATTATTGAAAAACCTCATCGCGCTTGGAAAAATAATACTTCTAATTATAGAAATGAATGAGAAAAAGCTATATAACCACATGGTCCAAATGATTTTTCGTTTTTCACATTACAACACTTTCCCACTCCCAGGTCAGCAGTTGGGTCATCACCACCATAAGCCAGCTACTCACTGAAACTCCTTAGGCCTGACAAACATAGAGGTTTAAGAGTGCTTTTTACCCTCAGATTTATCCTGGGCTCTGTTGTCCTCCTCTCAGTAATGGGAGTTTGCCAGAGAGGTAGGTATTAAATGGGCAACATATCCAATCACAATGCCAATCAAGTACATACTTGAAAATTTTAGGGAAGCTTTGCATTAATGTGCATTGCATTAAGGCACCCTATTCACTTTGAATGGGTTATCTATGCACCCCAGCCCACCGAAAACTAGACATGACCATTTTTATCTTAACATAGCACCCCACAATGCATGGTAGAACATGATTGTGTGTTGCTATGCACTGCAATGCAGGCCTGTAGCTCTAGTGTGTTGAGGTGCCAATCAGGCTGGTAAAAAGTTTTCAATGCATTTTATGCTGTTGAAAGTCTATATGTTTGTACTTTCTACCTCTGATTCAATCTTTCATTGGGCATCATGTTCCTAAATGTATATAATGTATGTATAAATGTATATATACTGAAGAGATTTACCCTCTGTATTTGTCCTGGTGATCACTGGAAAGAGGATAGAACGTGAAGAGAGATCCACCAGTTTTACCGTTTGAAAGATTTCGACTTGCCACCGATCTCCATTACAATGTACACATGTGCCAGGGCTAGTCACTAGCTGTGTCTCTGAGACAAGGAATTTATAGGAAATTTACTTAATTAGACAGACATAAAAATGCTGCAAATAGGTTAAACATAACTACTACTCAATCGAAAACAAAAACAAGTTAATTTTGATTGTCTGCAGTCACTCTTTGGCTGACAATTTTCCACCTGGCTCCTTTGACAAAAGTAGGAAACAGACAAAATTTGCTATGTGTATGGTCATCCTAAGAGTTACGATTGGTTCTAGTGCCCATTGTCTCTAGGAAAAGAAAGTAATGGAAAATCTAAAACTGACATGTACAGATTTGTCTTTATTCAAATAAAGCAAATGGTAAGATAATACAGGTGAAACTCGAATAATTAGAATATCGTGCAAAAGTAATTGCAGTACCGTATATACTCGAGTATAAGTCGTCCCGAATATAAGCCGAGGTACCTAATTTAAAAAAAAAAAAACTGGGAAAAAGTATTGACAGGATATTGTTCTATGAACAATCCTAGTTTTATTGATTGCATGTAATAATCTACTTTTTTGAGGTTGTGGATTTGGGGTTCTTGGGGTTTTCATGAGCTGTAAGCCATAATCATCACAATTATGACAAATCACGGCTTGAATTATCTTGCTTTGCATGTAATGAGTCTATCTCATATATTAGTTTCACCTTTTAAGTTGCATTAGTGAAATAAATGAACTTTGCACGATATTCTAATTATTCAAGTTTTACCTGTACTTACAAATGTGCAGTAAAAAGCACTTGGATCAATCTCTCGATCAATGTAGGACCCCAGTTAGTAGATGAACACAGAGGACGCCGCTCTGCTGGCTGGCATGCCACCTCAAGGCTGTTCGTCTGTGTTTGCGGCTAACTCGTTTACGGGCATGCCCCCTTCTTCAGAGGTTGATCTGAAACTCCCATTGATTGGCTGGTGAGGCACAAACACTCCAGATGTTTCCCCATTGTCTGCCCCACTCTGTGGCAGGTGTAATCAAGAGCAGAAAACCTAGAATTAACCAGATGATACCAAACTACAAATTAGCTAGACTGATTGCAGAATTAGTCTTTTTTTTTGTGATCTACTGTTCAGCACCTATGGGAGACTTGTAAATATCACCAATAAACACTGCACTGTTTGCCACATATTTGGCTGTACAATTTCAGTCTAACCAGATTGCTTAGTACCCTCTCATTCTGAATCACCATACTCTGGACTACAATTTAGATATCTATATGGTGCGTGTTAAGAGCACTTTATCAATTAAGGAAATGATTACAGGTGTGTTAGCAAATTTAGCTACCTTTAAAGGTGACTTTTTGCTTAGCTGGGTGTGTCAAAGTATCTCCTAATGTAGCTTACATCTATGTCTTGTAAATGTCTATGAGCTAACTAGCCACCCCTATGTTCTTAGATGCTATTTTACATTGTCTGACAAATCCTCTGAGTGGATGAGGAAAGGAAATTATTATATTATATAGCCTGTAAAGAAGAGGATGCTTAGTTCACAACGCCCTTTGCTATGCTTCTTAAAAGAGGTCTTAAATTTGTAAAACACTCTTTGTACTGTCAAACCTGCTAGATATAATATACTCTACACTGACACAATGAGCTACAGCAATAAGCAGAACCAATCTGAAAAACATAAAGGGAGTAAAATCTTAAGCCAAATAACCTCGCTTAGTCTCAGAGGGTTCCGTAAAGATAACAATGCTGGCACCTGGAGGCCTATTAGTTTCCAGGTCAAGCCTAGCAGCAGTGCCACCGTCACCAAACATCATTCATTCACCCATGGAGCTAACTATGGATTTACAAATAGTAGTTTTGGCAAAGAAGTCTCACTTAACAGAGAATCCAAAAAGCACATTTTGCTCCCCACCAATGAGAAGGAAACCATGAGGATTTTAAATGACCGACTGGCATCCTACTTGGAGAAGGTGCGTTCTTTGGAGGAAGAAAATGCACATCTGGAGAAGAAGATCCGGGACTGGTATGACACAAATCATCCTCAAATGTTGCCTGATTTCAGTCACTATTTTGCAGAAATGGAAGAACTTCAAAGGAAGGTAATTTGTAACATTATTTTCAGATTTCTTTTAATCTTCTTCCAAAGATGTGGATTTATGGTTTATCCAAGTGTATACAACCTCTACAATGTGTATTATTGGCACTAAATGGGTAAAGGGCTACTGAAGATATCTAGTTAACATTAGGTTTATCTATTTTTGTGGTGAACAGAAACAAGGTCTAGTTCAGGATTGTTCCCATATTGGTGCTACTCGTTTAAGAGAAAGTTCCAATATATAATATTGTTACTTACAACCAGTCAGGACTGCATCTCCCAAATGATCATTTCAAATTGATCACAATTGTGAACTTTTTTCATACTTATACTTTTATTAAAAACATAAAGTAGATGTAAACCCTAACTTGATAGCATTTAGTTTGCTAAAGCACTATGCTTCAACAATTGCCAGGACTTTGTCTCCATTAAAGACTGCCTTTACTTTTTCCATCCTATTTTGCAGCTCAGTGCTTCTGATCTCCAAAGCTAGCAACCATTTTTAAATTTGCAGCTTTTAATAAAATAATGCTTGCTAATCCTAACATTAAAAACTCTTTTGTTCTTCCTGTTATATGGTGATAGTTGATTCCCAGTTGTCACCATGTTACATACACCCCTGGGGGAGACTAGAAGCCACAATTTCAGCATACATCGCAAAAGCATGGACCACTGTTATCACTATCAGGATGCAGGTCCGAAGCAATGATGTGCAGTTGGCACTAGTGCATGTAGACAGAGAGTAGCTGAAAAAGATGGGAGAAGATCATCAGCAGGGAAATTATGGAGAAAATGTCTTTTAAATGTCACCCAGTTTGGGTTTAATAATGTAATTATACTGTAGTTTAATAATACATCTTTTAAAACAAAGCTTTAGTTAGAATCTCAATGCAGGTTGATAAAAGGGGGTCCTCATGAGTAAAAGCATTTCAAATGTAATAGTGACACGAGGAGATCTCTCCACTCTGATTCTCCGGCCACAATCGTGTTCCGGAGCCTCCAATGCTGCTGGTCAAACAGGTGCGTTCTTACCTCGAATCTCCAACCACTTCAGTGTCCAAACAGACAGCACTACAAGCATTTCCAATAACAATCCAAACATTAATGAAATCCACAATAAAATGTCAATAAAAGGATATACACCAACTTTGCAAACCCCCACTACACCGAAATCCTCGAACGTGTTTCACAGATAGGCTTATTCATAGAGGTAACACACGGTGAAATGCAATAGAGGATTTCGGTGTACTGGAGGTTTGCAATGTTGGTGTATATCCTTTATTCACATTTTGTTGTGGATTTCAATAAAGTTTGAATTATTATTGGAGATCCTTGGAGTGCAGTCTGTTTGGACACTGATGTGTAAAATTTATTAATTACTCAAGTTGATAATTTCATTCTTCCATACTACACAAGAGACATTAAAGAAATACAATAGAGGATTTTGGTGTACTGGGGATTTGCGGTGTTGGTGTATATCCTTTTATTGATATTTTATTGTGGATTTCAATAAAGTTTCAATAAAGTTTGAACTACTTTTGGAGATCCTTGGAGTGCAGTATGTTTGAAGTCTAAAATGTCTTAATTACTCCAGTTGATAATTTCATTCTTCCATACTGCACAAGAGACATTACAGTAATTATTGTGGGTTTTTCTTTAAAGCAGAACAGTTGTTCCTTGAGACATGAGAGAATCTAATCTTGGGGTCACAAAGTCCTTGCTGGGAGACTGACTACAATTAATGTAAACGGACCTTTATATGTAGAATATGGTAGCTGACCTAGCATTCTGAAAATGATAGTTGCCTGGCTGTCTTGTTGACTTGTTAATCCATTGGCTCCTATACTTTGAACCAATGACCTGGAACCAGATAGGAATACCTACCTTCCAGAGACTTTCTAATCTGCGTGCTTGATTCAGATCAGATGCTAAAACAACAGAAAAAGGGTAGAGCCAGGTAGCTAGTATTCTTAGAAAAACGCCAAGAATGACAGCCCCATTATTACTCTCAATACAGGTTGATTTCTGAATCACTTTTGTTTATTTTTCTACCTACAACATTTATATGATTTAGATGTGATGATGTGTAAGGATGTTAAAGTGACACTAAACTCAGGAGTTAAACCTTAAAAATGTATTCAAGTACCCCAACTATTAACAAAAATGTATCTTATTTGAGTATCACTCGGCTGTAGATCCTCAAATCATCTCTGAATTGGTGCTGACACTGTCTTTCCTTCAGGAGGGTGGCTACTTTTGTTCCCTGTGTGTGTTGTAAAGTAGTCACCACTCAAAGCTCACTCCCGTGGTAGACTGTAATCTCTTGCTCAGTTTAATTATAATAATTTATATTGGAGCAGTCCATATGGGAGTGAGGTTGGGGAGCTAGAGAAGCTGAAAGTAGTCCTTTGACCATTTGAGTCCCCGGTTGTTATTCCTATAACACCCCTGAGTCCCAGAATATTTTTTTTCTCAGCAATGTCTTGGATCCATGCCTTATATTTTTAAGTTCTGTAGGGTTCCCCAAAATATAGTACATTGTTATTTAGGGACCAGCAGGACTTACATTTAATAGCAGATCTGAATATACTATATATATTGTGGCAGTGCAAGCCAATGCCATGGTGTAGTATGACGACTTTGGCACCCAGGACTCTCAGCCAAAGGGGCTGAGAGGGTCCAGAATGTAAAACATGTTATAAGGAAGAGCCTGGCTTTTCAGGTTCGTCCAGGTTTGACTAATTGTAGCTGGGATCTGGAGCTCTTGAGATTTCGTAGAGCTCTGGGTGGGATGAGATCTCCAGTCCTGGGGGCCAGGTGTTGCCAAAGACCAGCTTGGGCTGATCAGGTGGCTGAGAACAGCCTCATTAGGAAGCCAGCCCAGTGCTCAGAGGAGTGTTGGAGTTGTGTGTGTGTGCAGGAAGCACACGGACACAGACTCAGGTGCGTGCTGGACACGTTGGACAGCCAGGGAAGGCTGGGAGAGGTCGGGAAGGTCGGTGATCCTAGGACCTGTGGTACACACTGCTAAGAGAGCAGATTGAGGGCTCACGAGGGGTGAGCAGCGTGAGTATCTTGGAGCTGTGGAAAGCTACAGAGTGAAGCTAAAAGACTGTCCTTTATGTTGCTGCTAGAAACGGTGCTGTGCAACAGGGGAGGTCTACCCTGTGGATGGAATTATATACTTGGTGTTTGCCCTAAATAAACTGCATTTTACTTGCACCCCCCCTGTCTACAGTGGAGTGTCCTTGTTACAAGTGGTGTCAGAAGTGGGATACACTGTTGTACCGGCCATGCTCTCACAGAGGCCTTGAAGGTACAGGACCCAGGAAACTGGAAGAAGTAAAATGCAGTTTATTTAGGGCAAACACCAAACCTGGATGAACCTGAAAAGCCAGGCTCTTCCTTATAACATGTTTCACATTCTGGACCCTCTCAGCCCCTTTGGCGGAGAGTCCTGGGTGCCAAGTCGCCATACTACACCCAGTGGTGTATTTTGGTTTTGTGCTGCCCTAGGCAAGACTAAACCCGAGCACCCTGCCCCCCCATCCCTCATCTAAATCAGTGCCACCCCTTCCTGTTTAAGACATTTTACATAACCTGTCAGTCGCGGGATTCAGTACGCACGGTGTATCTAGATTCTGACAGGTTGCGCTATCAACATAGGGTGACACTCTAGTTCTACCTTTGCAATAGCCGCCTTCTCCCTTCCTGGCTTGATGGGCTCCCTTGTTCTGCAACTACAATAACCTTTCTCTCCTGCCCTGCCATGCTGTGCTAGTCTCTAGTTCTGCAGCTGCAACACTGATCATCTGCCTTCATATGCTGGGCCCTCTAATTCTGCAGTTACCCACCTTCTGCCTTGGCCGCAGGGCTCTGTAGCTTGCCCCGCTCTAGAGACATAACCCTGCACGGAGCTTATAGGCTGCACTTCCCCAGACTCACTACCCTGGAGGTATCGATAAACACGATGACCATCTGGATCTCAGCCCTGGGGTCCTGCGGAATCTTCCTAACACAGCTTTTACATAATTAGAGCAGCCCCACATATGTACTTCAGAATATATCTGTCAAAGTCTAATGATTAAAAAGGATATCATATAAGTGTAGTTTTAATGTAACATAACTGTAACATAACTAAATGGTAAAGCAAAGGTTTGCATTTTAATTTAGGATAGGTTTATTCCCCTTTCAACGTTACATTGTATTGTATGTGATATAAAATGATACTTTTTCTTTACATTGTATACAATATTCTCATGAGGTGTCAGGATCTGGTCAGTGTGGACATTATATAGACCCCCATACATCTGTGTAGCAATAGAAAATTTCTAATAGTGATCTACTGCTGACTGCAATCAGCCAGCAATAGTCCATTACAAGAGTGATCTGCTGCATTGACTTTGCCTGAGCTTCCGTACAAGGTGGAAATGACATGACATTACTTGTGACATTACTCCCCTTCAAATGTAAACACAATGAAAAAGCATTGTGTTTACAGTGATCTGCTACAAGTGCTTTTATACAGTACTGTGTAGCAAGATCAGAAGTCTACAAGCTAATGGTTTCAGCTTCTGGGCTTTGTGCTGGATCTGGCTGCCAATGACACCCAGCAGTTCCAGCCCACATGCTGGCCGGGACCTGACCCACGTGATGAGTCCTGATATATGTGTGACTACTGTAGGTGTAAACATAATTTTATATTTAGGTTTTCAAGTCCACAATGGAGAACACAAGGCTTACCCGGCAGATTGACAATACTCGTTTGGCTACAGATGATTTTCGAAATAAGTGAGTATTCCATACTTCAAAAAAGTACTAAATTAAATAATGAACCCTTGAAGGGGGTGTATAGTTTTTATAGATAAACTTGTAGAAGAGATCCATCTGATGTAATAGTGTTCATGTTAAAAAAAAAACCAAAAACTTCTTTCTAGTTATACTGTGTAATTATATATGAAAATGAGGGAAACTGTATATATTTCACAACATTTTTATTGGGTT